CCAGGTCATGGGCCAGGAGGAAAGTGGTAGCATGGACTACTATCTGGTGTACCTGAGCATACGGACTTTGCATGCAGGGTTCAAGACAGTTGCTGGCTCATACCACCTGCCTAAATATATTTTTGTCTGTTACAGTCTGATGCAGTTAAGAGTGCATGACAGTAAAATACTGTATAAATTGTAGGAACTGTCTAACATGGGTAGATGGGGAAGAGTTTTATACTTTGGCTTTGAATCAGGCTACAATTTTCAACAGAGAGAACATATGTTTCCTATGTGAATACTGTATTTCCATACCATTTTTTCCAATGGCTACAGACCTTACATGCTTGTAAGTTATGCACCTCTTTTAGCAATGAAAAGGATAAAACCAGGAACTTCGTTAACATTTCCAAGTAAAAATAGGGTTGCTGCTCTGGTCCATGTCTGATCATTTTCAGGATCTGGCAACAGGAGATGAAGTCTTAACTGATCAGAGCGAAGAGGATACTCATTCCATCAGCAAGCATTTTGGCACATGTAGATTTTTTCACAATGCCAGTGGATGACAGTGGGCGGCACAGAACTAGTTAAGTAATTTTAAAACCCTGGAAAATTACCCAGCTGAAGCCAAAGCAGTAAGCAAAATGAATAAAATGAAAAAGAATAATCTTGATAAGAGTGGGGATTTAAAGAGTTTTTCTGCCCTGTTCTTCCAGATTGTAACAAGCCTTCTAGGAGTAACAGACAGTTTACAACTAACCTGAAGCAGTGATTCAAGAGCTCAGTTGTACTGGGAGTAACAGCTTTCCTCCCGACAAGCTCAGGTGATGGGGTAGAGACAGCAAAATGAACTATGTTAATTAAAACATTCTTGTTACTTCCTTGTATGAGGAATGTGTGAATTCTCTGCCTGGAAAATTACTGGTTAAACTGATGGTGATTGTTTTTGAAAATACTCCAGGGCAATAACTGTGTCTTAGCACAGAGGAGTAACTGGGGCACTGTCTCATCATCAGAGTGGAGGGACACATACTGGATCAAGATCTGTAGCGTGCAATGCATGTCAAAAGACAAAGCATGTTGCAAAGCACTGCAATAAATAATTCTACCCACAGAAATATTGATAGAGATAAGAGGAAACTACAAAACATAGTCTACCTTGTTAATCTTTCAACACTCCTACTTAGTTAGGTTTTACAACAGATAGTTCTACTGGGTTTGGGTCAGATTTAGAGAAGATCTGATTCTGGACTTTTTCAAGCACTAGAGGATTACCAATCTACTTCAGTAATGGATAACAGGGTTTTTTTTACAACTATGGATTCTCAGATCCTCAAACTTATTATATCCCATATGGCAGAGCCACTGTTGGTTCTGTGCTTACATACAAAACGTTGGTTTTGGTTTAAATGTTTGTGCATCTATTTAGCTGCTAGCAATGGCTGGGTGGTTGAGGTCACTATAGCAGTGGTTAGCACGGTGAGCCTCACACTGAGCCAACAGTCTTATTTCTCAGATAACAGTGTCTGAAGTGTAAAGCATTCTGATATCCTGCCCCTAAATAACTCTACTCATGAGTGACTACTCCGGAATTCTTATTTTACAACTACACCAGAGTGAAAATGTACATCAGAGTAATTTGAGATATACTGTATAATGGAAATGTTCTGTCATGTATCTCTTGATGAATTTTCTTCCATCTTCCCTTGCTCCCCTTTTATTTTAAATGGCAGCAGTCTTCTAGGTTCATAATATCATACAAGGCAGCTGTGGGAAGAGGGAGCTTTGAGTACAGCAACTGGTAATTCAAATTCTAGGCAACCTGGAGAAGCCTGGATTTCAGACCTTGGAACCAGAAAATCCACGTGTGTAAATTTACACATTTGAATTACTCAGCTGTGGTTCACAATGGCCAAAATCCATTAAACTCCTCTTTCAGACCTGAACAGCATGTTCTAGGTTAGATCTAATCCAGACCTGAATGTAATGCCTTGGCCTTCCTGAACATTACACTAAAGGAGCACTTACATTTATATTATATTTCATCGAAAGGAAGCAAAGCACTCTAGAAGGTATGTAACTGCCCCACTGAGGGTGATGAAGTCAACTCCGAGGAGAATTTTTTTCTTTGCATTCTAATTATAGATGCTTTTATTTACTAAAGTTACAGATAAGACCTGTCTATTACAAGCCTCTGAAATCTCATTTTGCTAAAATGAAAGCATATTTCAAATGCTTTGGAGAACTATTAAGATTATTGAATGTCTAGCATACTGCTTCAAGTCTTCAAGTGGTTCACTAGGCCCCCTAGGGAAGAGGCAAGCAGCATACAATTATCACAGTAATTAAAAAGGTGCAATGACTCTTCTCTTAAAGACTCCTGTTTTATTAATTCTATGGTATGCTTTGGAGACTGGCATTATTTTACTCCTACCCAGCTTAATTATACTGTCATTAGTTTATCAGCATCTCTTTTTAAGCCCTTGGGCCAGTTATTAGCATGTCACTTGCTAACAGTTAACCAATAACCACTACACCTTCAAAGCAGGATCTTCTGCTATAAAAAAGCCAATTTGTAGAGACAGATTTAATATCATCATTCAATTTTAATTTTTCAGTCAGCCATCACTTTCTGCTTTTAATTTAAAAGGGTTACTGTTTAGCTTAATGAAAACACAAATAATGTTGATGTATTACAAGACATTAGCAGGTAATAAAATACTTCCAGTACATAGTGGTTTATGAGACTGAAGGCATGTTTTAATACTCAACAGTATGTACCACTGAAAAGATCAGAAAACATATGATGTTCTTAAATATAACGAGAATTCTGGATTTCCCTCTCTATTGGGTCTGGCTGGGATGGAGTTCATTTCCTTCATAGCAGCCTATACAGTGCTGTGTTTCGGATTTGTGACTAAAGCAAGGTTGATAACACACCAGTGTTTTAAATGTTGCTTAGCAGTGCTTGCACAGCCTCAAAGCTTTCTCTTTTTCCCACTCGGCCCCTGCAGTGAGTAGACTGGAGGTGGACAAGAGGCTGACAGGAGACACAGTGGAGACAGCTGACTGCACCTGACCAATGGGATATTCCATACCATATGATGTCATGGTCAGCAATGAAAGCTCAAGGAAAGGTGGAGGAAGGGGGGATGTTCACTGTCATGACACTTGTCTTCTCAAGTAACGATTATGTTTGCTAACAACCTGCTTCCCAGGAAGTGGCTAAACAGCTGCCTGCTGATGGGAAATAGTGAATAAATTTCTTATTTTGCTTTGCTTGTGAGTGCAGTTTTTGCTTCACCTACTAAACTGTCCTCATCTCAATCCATAGGTCTTCTTGCCTTCCTTCTATTTTCTCGGTGCCAGCCTTGTGCCAGAGATGACTGAGTGAGCAGCTGCGTGGGTACCTGGCTGCTGGCTGGCATCAATCCACCACACCACCACACCCTCTTACCCTTTAGTACAGACAGGCTCACTTAGACAGCACCCAATGTTACATTATCTAATCATATAAGCAGATGATCAAACTATGAGAAAAACTGTTTTTATTTTAAAATAACCGTAGTACCTGTGTATTAAACACATACTTACCTTGTCCAGACAGATAATTTCACATTATTGTGAAAGGCACAGTGACCCAGAAACCCTCCTGAAGGGAACTGTAATTAATTTTTAGGCCTCACTTTTGACTAAGGTGAAGTTATCTTAGTCTAGTAAAGAACACCTTATAAATACTAAATACTTAACTATTACTATAATTTAACTGTACTGCTTTTTGGTTTCATTTTTCATTAAATATTTCTTTCTATTAATGAGAGGAAGAAAAAAAACCCAAAAAGAATATCAAAGACTTGGTACTTGTATAAGTTTGCATCTTCAAAACATAATACTGGGATTCTGACAGCAACTATATTTCATTCTATGTCTGACATCACAGCAATCAGTTCAACTGAAATGCATTTAGCCACTGACAGGTGGCCAGGTGACTTTACAAAAAGTAACATTACTTTCATATGCAATGGAAATACATCATTATTTATCTTGAAGTATGTAATTTTTCCTGTTAAAAAGACAAATAACACCAAGCCATTCTTTAAAACATTAGGATCAATAAGATAATATCATCTGCTCAGTCCATTTCCTCTAGGTTCATTTCTGCTTATCTTCCACCAACTTTACAGCATCAGAAAGAAGATTCAAAATATTGGGGGAAAATACTAATGACGAAAAAAAAAAATGCAGGTCACAGTATATTATTTTCTGAGCAGCTGAATCTCAAATTAATACCACTGCCAGTCTTCCTGAAAATTACTGTACCATTGCTTTTATATAATAGGTCTACTTTGTATCCTTTTACAGTCAGAGGTCAGCACTATTAATTATAACATCCAAAACAGGAGCCAAAGACTGCTACACAACACCACAAACCACACTACCTCATTTAATGAAAAGACATGCTACCAGTCACGCAAGAAAGCAGCCCTTTGCAAAACCTCATCTGCTAATTGAGACTTAACAGTGCATACTTTTGCTGTTACACAGGATCTACTTTCACTTTCTCTACAAGTTTGATATACCTGACATTGAAAAAAGGAAAAAAATAAACTTTATCTAAAACAAAATTTTCATCAAGCTTGGGATAATAGGGGAAAAAAGAAAAAAAAAAAGGGTGAACTAACCTGAAACCCAAACATACACTGGCAAGAAAGTGGTGTAATGAAAAAGAGAGCTCAGTGTATATCTGATAGTAAAAATTGTTTATTTATACAGCAGTCTACACTGAGCACTTTAAGGCATGCACAGGCATGATTTCATCTAATACCTACAGTGGCATTGAAGGCTGGTTTCAAGGTCATTGTAGCTGGCAAATGCTAATAGCTTATACTTAAAAGCATTCAGTCTTAATTCCTGAAGCCTGCTGGTTTAAGGTAGACAGTAAAAGCTGCTAGTGAAATAACTTTTGTTTTCAACCTAGAAAGATTCTTACAACTTCCCAGTCACTTCCGAGTACTCACCAGCACATTTTGTTCTTGTTTTGAGAGCTGGGCCAGGAGATCCGGTTCCTCCTTCACCTGGTCTTGTAAGTAATACACTGATTTCGTATTCTGTGTCAGGATCCAGGTGGCCAATCTTATAGCTTGTGGAGTCCACAGGTTGTATGTCATACCAGCTTCCACTTGAAGTTCGATACTCAACTTCCCTTTGAATAATAGGTCCATCCCCATTGATGGAATTGGCATTCAACTGTATCCACAGGTAAGTTGCACCAACTGAGGACAGCTGAGGAGGAGCAATGGGAACTGGTGGCTCTGAAGCACAATAAGTTGCAAAAAGCAGCAATGATTATACTGGCATTTTTACTGCTTCTAAAACATTCAAATAAGCAATGGGTTTACTCCTATATTGGAGCTGAAGATTGCATAAAAATATTGATATGAAAAAATCATCACTACAGATGAACTTATCACCAATAAACTACAATATGCAAATTCTTTTGTTTATACACTTGGAGATTGTAACATGAAGTTTTTGGTTTACATCATATGACTTCAAACCAGGTGCAACTGGAATTCTATTCATTAGACTTAACATGGCAGAAAGATGATCTCAGGTTTTCTCATTAAAATACAGTTCTTACTGTATGTAAATATAAATCCTACTCAAAGTTAACATTTTTAAGCTAAAACTGATATTGTACTCTATCCTTAGACATAACCAGAACAGTGATTTCTGCATGGGAACAAAATTAATTTTTTATCCATTATTTCTCATGGACTGTACTATTCAGTCTTCATATTTTCAGACTTTTGTGTAAGCAAAATAAATGTAGTATTTTTTCAAGTCCTGTATAATGGCTAAAAAGAAAGAGCTTCTAAATGAGAGCTGGGGAATTCCTGAGTCTTTACTATGAGTCTGACTATTTCATGCAATGGCTTATTTTCACTACCACACAGAAGCAGTACTCTGTCTCACAGAGCAAGCATGTGTGTGATCTCCTAATAGTTTGCATTCTAAAGATTTTTAAAGTGGGCAAAAATTTTAAAACTACTTTTATTTATTACATGATGGACGTCTCATTTTAAATCAGACTGCAGAAATAATTTGGAGACAGCATCTCCATTTAAAGGCAAATAACAAATTCATTTTCTCCTATTGATTAACCAGGAGATTACTCTGCTGTTTCATGCATCACATCTGCATAAAATTCACCTTCTCACTGGTTAAATATATGCAAGTAGAATGAAACCAGGATGGTGTAATAAGGCAGTGTTTGATCCAATATTCTTAACATATCTATCAGCAAACACTGCCACCTTCTTAAAGCTACACAGAATACGTAATGAACATAGAACATCTGTCTTCCCTAAGCTGTAGATTCAGATTTATCCTCCTCTGCTAACCATTTCCCAACATGTTGAGATATAGGTAGTCAAACAGAAAAGAAGTTGAATTTATATACTTCATCATTTTCTCAAGGACTTCAAAGTCACAGTTAAAGCAAAGAACATAAAAGAATGAAGCACAAGGAAGAAAGGAACTCTGAAAATAAGTATTAGTATTTCCTGAGAAACAGTAGAATTACTGTTTTAACAAACATATAATTATCCTGTGTTATGCTACCTTTTTTTGCTTACAGAAAGAGTACTCAACTCACAGAGCACTAAGTACATTAAAGATTAGCTATGCCTTATGTAGATCATGTTTCTAATTAGAACTGTACACTTGTACATAAGCTTCAATCTGTGCAATCTGTCAGCAATTGATGAAATATGACATCACAAACCAGAAAACATAGGCATCAGCATTAGATACTTTCATCTTAACAAAACTAATTGATTACTATCACAAAGAACGTGATACAGTGGGTAACGATCCAGAATGTCTCCAAAGATGTCTACTAATTATTACTGATTGGAATAGACATAAAAATAGTTTAACATATTGTAGGAGATTCCAGTACCTAAAGAAAAGAATATTGTTTACATTTTCAGATCACTAAGGAAAACACTGTTCTATGTCAGTAGCAATGTGTAGCAAACTGGTGTCATCTTTCAGTTAGACACATACTGCAGTTTTATTGAAATTATTGTTCCTAAAGTATATAAACTATGGCTTCATACGGGGAGAGCATGTCTGAAAACAGTTCTGACTTGACTCAAAATGATTTATCATCAATTTAAATCATTAGGCTGTTTCGTGAACCAAGACATTAAATGGAACTTTCATAGAGCATCCTAAGGCATTTACTTAGCCATGCTGAAAGAACAGTTAATTACTTTCAAGTTTCAAATGCTACTAAAGGCTGTTGAAGTGCCATTCAAAATGCGAACTCAGGAGTTAGGTCACTAAGGTTAGTGGTTACACCAATTCATTCCGAGTATTACAAGTACTTGAAATAGAGAGTATTTTATTGTCTTTTTATCCCTCGGGGCATATTTTTCATTCCTTTGTGACCACAGTGCAAAAGGTTAATGCAAGCTGCATTATTTCAGCAAAGCCTAATATACGGCAGTTTAATACTAGTAACACAGTTAAATACTAAAAGTAGTCTTTCTACCAGAGATCGAGGTTATATAAAATGAACTCTTCATTACAAATATGATGCTTATTATTGACTGAAACATGAGACCCAGAGTTAAGCAGACACTTTAATACAAACAATGTACTACCAAATACAATGAGTTGATTTCATGACTAAAGTATGAAAGTTGTTCTTCTGACTTATTCATTTAGTCCTCCTTTAGGGAGAATGATTTTTTTTTTTTTTTTTTTTTTTTTTTTTTTTTTTTTAGTATACTGAGGAGTTTGAATCACTTAATCAGGTAAGTACCAGACTGCAGCACTACCATGTTTCACTACAAGCAGTTTTACTGGTGGTCACCGGGGTAGTCTCAAATAAATACCATGCAAATTATTTTCCAATTAATACCAAGAAAATGGTACAATAGACCTGTGATTTTATAGCTGTGCCCATTCGAGGAAGGAATTTCAACTGATCGCAGAAATAAGTCTGTAGCAGTGGCTATTTAGTACGATGCTGTAGCTTAAAGAGGAGTTCTTCCTTGTAGATCTCTCTTGAAACAAGTAAACAAAGCTATTCAGTACTGTGAAACCCTTTAAAGACAGGCTTTTAAAATAGAATATTAAAAAAAGAAGGTAAATTTATCCATAATTCGAAATTTAATACTTTTTAGCCTTTGGATAGACAGATGACCTTCTTGAATTCTGTGACAAATGGCGATGGGCATTAAGCCCTTATGGAAAGAAAATAGTGGCCACCTTATAAAGCTAGAGGTCTGCGTATGACAGCTTTAGGCAGATGCTCTAATGTCACCCTACATAACTGGATCATTTACAGTAAATATGAGAAAAAGACAAAGACTTTATGATAAGGAGCAAGTCTTCTCTTATGCAGAGGATAAAAACAAATGCAGCTGTACATGCATATAAACTATTTATTCTTTTGCGCTTCTATATTAATTGGAAACACTTGAAATGGTAGCTCCTTTATTTACAGTGCTTTGTGCTTTAAATTATACAGAGTTTCCGAACATTTTCTACAAGATCCTAACATCTTTATGTTTTGCAGTTCTTTTAAAATCTTAATAAGGAGGGAAAGACATCACATGGAGATGGCACTAGAGATAATGTAAATCTCTGAATTAAGTGAATTATACAACACAAAAAATTGACATTTCTTCTCTGTGGCTCAGAACAGCTAACTTGAAAACTGAAAAAAAATCTTCTTCAATAGTAACAGTAACATTTTTCAATTTTTCTTCTGGGATGAGAGAATGGGAAAATGAGCCATGCTACATTTGCGGAGGAACAGGGAAGAAACATTTATCCTGCAAACTATTTTTTTAAAAATTAAAATAGGAACTGTTAGAAAGACAATGCCATAACATTCCCAAGTGATACTGTTCAGCACGTCATGAGTGGGTGAAATTATAAATATAAGGTATGAATCATCTCTGATGCTAAGTCCACATTAATAACATCTTAATTATTATAAACTGATCATATCATTATAATTTTATAGTCTTGAAATCAACTAAACAGCTTTATTTTAAGACTATTTTCTTCCATTTTCCTCTCTATTTTGGTTTTTTATACATATATATATATATATTATCGTGCTCCTCTTTTGAGCATGCAAATGATTTCATTCCCTTGGAATAATGGACAGCAGTGCCATTTTGCAGCATTTAATTCTGGATAAAGGGCAACAAATACCCACAGTGATAACAAAAGACACACCAATGATTTTGAAGCACCACACTTCTTCATGCAGTATTTTTTTTCAAAAGTCTCTAAATAATTTCTGAAAAAGTAATTTATTATTTAATTAAACAATATCTCTAAACAGTATGATGCATAACACGTGAGCAAATTTTACACTATTCCTTTACTGATACTGTCCAGGATGAAAACTTGACTTGACCTAGTATTCTAATGTTCTTAAAATTACTTATAAATTCATCATGTAAGAAAATGTCATTGTATTTTTTACATATTCTGAAACTTCACAAAAAAACAAATGATAAGCCTGTGCTGGTACAATCTAATTAGTTGGACATTAGTAGATATCCTGCTAAACCCTGTAGTAGTAGTATTACCACCCATCCTGAACTAGGCACAAACTGTTCCCTTCCCCAAACACAATCCCTCCCAGACCCAACTGCTCCAACTTGCCCACTCTTGACTCACCAACTCTTTTAAAGTGAAGCCTCAGCCTGCAGATCCTCATCTGCTTACCTATGTGGTCTAAAAACCCATCTACCCTTCCCATTCTCAGCTTTGCTCAGTTTTTGTTTTCTCCCGCACTATGGTGGGAGAAACACTCCACACTATGGTGTCCCCACATTCCAAACACCACTAAATTCCCACTGCAGGTTTGTCTTTTTTCTTTTTCACCCCAAGCTGTATCTACAATATGCCTGCTTTTCTCCCTACCTTCTAGTCTCCTGCTGTTCTTCTAACCATGCTTCTCCCTAGCATCCGCTTTTCCTCTCCCCTTCTGCACCAGACAGTTCCCCTTTCCAGACAGTTCCCCTTCCACTGGCCTCAGCCCCCACTCATCCCCTACATAAATATATATGTATATGCACACATATTCCTGCATATTCATTTGTTGTCTTTCTCCCTAGCTTTTAGTCCTTACGTAGTCCCAATTTCCACCTACTTCCCCTCTCATTTCCAAACACCTCCCAGTTTGCCATACCGTTCAATCCCAACACTAACAACCTCAGCCGAGTATGAAGCTTCTTGCTCTTGCACCCCTCGCAATCCACATCTTGCATCTCAC